GAGTATCTGATGTATAACGGCTACTATTGGGAACTGATTGGTGAAGCTAGCTATGTATCTTTTTCAACAATTGCTAGAGAAACCATGGTACATGCAGTGCCAGATTAAATATGTGTTTTATTTTCAGTTTATATTTGGCAAAAGTCCTTTTGGGAGATCCAACTATTTGTTGGATTTGGTTAAATTATATCCAAAATGTGATTTGAATATACTTTTGAAAGCTACTCAAACAAGCCCTATGTTAAAATAACAGACTTCATCTTTCTTGCCCAAGCACCATTTTGGAGCTTAAAATCTTTTTTTCCATCATGTTTCTTTTTGCTATTTGATTTTTTTTTTGCCAACACTATTTGATTATTATAAATTACACTGTTTTTTAATTAAATTAATAAGAATTTATTTTGTTCCTTTTATTATGCATTTAACTCGAACATGAAAATGAATTTTATAGGTTGAGCCTACGGAAGTTACCATTTAAGTTATGAGTGTCTTTAATATTAGGCCTATTTAAGCATGTGTGTGCTGTGTTGCCTAGGATATTTCGCTTGCATTGAGGCTAGCCCTCACAAAATTATTTGCTAACAAGTATAAAGGAAGTAAGGTTGGGCTATGAATTTTAAGGCATTAGTACCAAATTAAGTTCAATGGCACATGCCATCTTTAGTTTGAGATCGAAAAGAAAAAAGTATGGATGGAAAAATTAAAAAGGAAAAAAAAAGGAAAGAAGATGATGAGTTATATCAATAAAACATGATAAGCAAACTTTGGTTAAGTTTATCCAATTGTCCATGTAGTTAATGTAAACGCTATAATAATAGTATTATTTCTTAATATCTATTGTCTTTTTACGATATTAATAATAATAACAATGACAAAAGGAGAAATAAATAAGAATGCTGGAACATAACTATAACATCCCAAGTTTTCTAATTCGAAATCTAAATGGATAAAATAGTAAATTAGGGGATTAATTAGCTTAATCATGCTTTCAAATTACTAATTGATATTTATGACTATTGGATAGCTTCAAGGTCAAGCTAGGGTGAAAGTTGGACAGATCAAGACTAGATGGCATAAGACGAGTGAGATATTACTTACTCTGCCACATGCCATAAATCATGGCACATTTCTGGTGATAAAATGATGTGAAAATAGCTCAGAAATTAGAATGAAACTTAGAGAAAACTTGGAGCTCAAAGGAGAAGAAGAAATCCTCTGCTAGGGCTTCAATTTGGGTGCTTAAAAGCTTATTTAGACCTTTAATTACTCGGATAAGTTTTTTTAACACTCTCTTCTACTTTTTCACCTTGGTTGTCTTAGATTTTAAAGAATGGGTGGTTAGGTTTTGAGTTGAGGAGAGTTATACTCAAATCCTATATTTTGCATGTGGTTGTAGGAGTTTGATTTAAGTTGTTTTTGTGTTGAATAAGTGGTTATATATATATAGGTTGTTGTGTTGAAGAAGTTGGACAAACCTTAGGTGGATTTTGAGACTATTGAAAGTGTAGATTATCGTAATTTGGTACTTCTCCAAAGTCAATGAAGCTATTTGTGCTTGTATTGTTGCCATGAGTAACTTTTTTGTGTAAAAATGGTTAAGGTAACCGGATATTAAATATGCTCATGTGCGCGCATGTGTATGTGAAATTATGAGTTCAGAACTAATAGAATGGGCAAAAGAATTATAAATTGAAAATGTATTCATAATTGAAATGTATGTTGTTAAAGGCAAGGCAATGTGATTTTCTAAATTAGATGTGTAAAATTATGATGAAATGGTATTTGTGTAAATATGAGTTTAAGAAAAGCATAGTGTTGCATGTGAATGGCATGATATATATATATATATATATATATATATGTATGTAGAGGGTGGGAGTTCATCCCAAGTAAAGTAGTGTGAGAAATTCCATATGGTTGAGCTGACATCTTAAGATGCTCGATGCAGCAACATTCACTACCCAAAAGGGTGGTGTTAGAGTAACAACTCCTTACCATTTGAAAGAATGGTGTGTTGGAGTAATGACACCATGCTTATGTAGAAGTGGGAGAGTCCGTAGTTTAGAAGTGGTTGATAGCATCTTTAGACAGGTAGTTCTCCAATGGAAAGTGAGCTTAGATCAATCTATTGAAGGCTAATCTTGTGTATTAGCCTATGGATTCAGTCAGGGAGTAATGAAGGTTCAGTTGAATAATATCATGCATAAAATATATGTTATGTAGCATGTTGTGGTTTGAATACATGTTTTAAATATGATGCTCTACTTACTTGTTTATAATTTTACTTGGTAATTAATAATATGGATTATTTTGGTTACTGGGACTCTATCTCACCCTATTGTTATCATTTTCTAGGTTCAGAGGCTGAGAGAATACAAGGGAAAGACCAAGAAAAAGAGTAGCTAGCCTACTTGTTGTATTGACTCTATTATTTTAGAGTTTTGTACATATTAATGTATGTAAAGTTATGGTTGCCAACTAGGAGCTTACATGTTTTTGAAGTATGCTTATATGGGTTATGTTTTGATATTTTAGCTTGGGTAGTATATTTATTGAAATACTTGTGGTAAGGGCTGAAATATTAATACAAGCATATATTTGGTATAAATCTCTTGTATATAGTAAATATTGTAGTATTTTAGCCTAATGTATATGTTTGGTGAAGTATTGTGAAAATTAGGTTAAAATAGGAATTCAAGTGTATGTCTAAGTTAATTATATGTGTTAGGTTGTGATTGTTTAGCCAAGCTTTGAAATTAATCTTAAAACTATCATTTTGCATCTAGGTGTTCAATTTTCAAATGGTTGTTGGATTGAAATGAAACTTGTTCCATTAGCTAGATTATCGAAAAATATTTGTGTGGGAGCTTAAATCACTCCAATCAGATGTCAAATGTAAAAATGGCATACGATGGAAGTTTACCTTGGAGAGTTGTCATGAACTACTCTATGGGTCGCAGTGTATGGCACAATGGAGGAAGAGTCTACTCTGTGCCACATGTGGTCCTTAAGTTGTGGCTTGTATGCCAGTTTATGTAAAAGTGACTTTTCTGCCTTATTTTTTTTCTGTAGCTTGATTGTATATTATCCCATACTTCCCTTACTTTAAAATAATTATTGATTTGAGCTCAAACTATAAACTTGAAGGGTTTTGGGATCCCAAATGTTTTCAAAATTTTATGAGTTTAATTTTAACCCTTCTTTAATTAAGGTAAGTTTAAGAGCTTAATGGCTCTTGATTACAATTGTTTGACTTGTTTGTGGCTATGTGCTAGTTATGTCAAGGAGGATATTACAGTTTGACATTAATTTCTCGAGTTCTGAAATTTGATATACTGTGATTGATGTCTTGCATTCATTACTTAGTAGCTAGCAACTTATATACATTCATTACACATCTCTTTCCATTTTCTAGTTCATATTTATATAGTACGCTAACTCTCTCCTATGATTGGTTCTTTCCTTAAGAGGGGAGAATTGGTGAGGAAAATTCCAACTACTTATAATCCGCTACTTGAAAATCATTAACCTATACTAGAGGAGCAACTAGTACCTGAGCAGCGCAAGCCTTATGGCAATGATGCTCTTTTAGAAGAGTTAAAGGAGATGATGATTGATATCTGACAAACTGTTCAATACCATAATGTCTACTTCATAAGAGAGGTCGTGGTGATGGTCAGCCTGAGCATGAAGAGGTTTGTAAGAGTAGATTGGAATCATCTAAAGATTCTAGCAGTAAGTAAATTCATCTAGAGAGAGAAGTTAGGGGCAATAATGAGATCTCAATTCATCAAGCCTGGAGAACTTTCTCCTAATTCAATCCTTTAACATTTGATGGGAGCATAAAGGAAGAAGAGGCTAAGAAGTAGATAGAGCACCATGAGAAAATATTCAAGGTAACAACTTGCTCATTTGAACAAAAGGTGGTATTAGCCATGGTATTGCTGGTGGAAGTTGAGAAGCAGTGGTGAGATATGGCTAAACCTACTAATGGCTGTTGATTGACTAAAGAGCAATTCAAGTAGATCTTCTTTACTATCACTTCCCTATGACTTTTAAAGATAAAAAAGAGGTAAAATTTCATACATTCAAGTAGGGAGATCTTGATGAGGAATAGTTCATCAAAAAATTCAACCAACTGGAAAAATTATCCACCTACTTGATTAGTAACAATGACAGCGGGTGAGAAGTAAAACGACTTCTAGAAAAGATACGACTTGAATACAGGCAATAAATTTCCTTTTATGGGGTGACCCTTATGACGAGATGTGTAATAAGCTCTTAATAGTAACAAGAAGAGGTTGGGAGATAGAAGCAGAGAAAAGAAGAGTAGTTTTGGAAGGTTCTCATCTCCTTTTGGTCTTACAGGTGGGATTTTGAAGAAGTCTACTTTTGGCTTGAGTAGCTCTATGGCTTCGGGAAGGAAGAGCTTCAATAATATAATGCCTTCAATGACATTACCATACAACCTTCCACACAATCTACTAATCAATTTTAAATCATTTACTTTGAAAGCTTGGGATCCCAATATAAAACATTTCTAAAACCATTTCATAAAATACTTGAGTTGTAAAATACTACACAGTAGAAGCATCAAACATAAGTATATAAAGATCAACAGGAAAACACATTTTAAACAATAAATTCACATAAAATGTGGGCCATGTGTTGCGGTTTGTGCCACATGCGCCACGACATGTGGTACAAAGGCCTTAGCATCATGCTTTGTGTCATATGCCATGACATGTGGATAAATGCGCCATGACGGAGCATCAAGTCTTGCTGTCAAATTGCAGAATTTGATACAAGCTTCGGATGTGCACCATTTTTGCATCCAATGCCCGATTGTGATAATTCAAGTGCTCACATGAAGCTTGTTTTAGAATCTATCCAATGATGCTAGCTTTCATATCAATCTGATATTCTATTTAAAAATTAGAAACCCTAGTGCATTTTGACCATTTTATGTTAAAATTTGCCACTTAAGCATTCCAAATAAAACCATATGTCATTGGCTACTTCTAGGGCCTTGACCATATCTAAATGGACAAACAACACCTAATTGAGCAATTATATACACAATATCACACGCATACACACATTTGGTTTGTAAACTACCTTTCACACACTTTGGGCATATTTCATATTTCTCAATCTCATTCTCATAAAAGGCCAAATTTCATATACTCAATCACATGTTCATCATCACATTTTCTCAAACAATCATTGTCTAACCCACATTGTCATTTACATTACACACACGCACACAAACATTCACCATGGGCTAAAATTCTAAAATCATGCATTATATGCCATCACAAGTTTATACATTACAATATATTTTCTATGGCAACTTATATGTTGATCACAACTACTAATCCACAAATTCATTACAATAACTCTTACAAAAGGCTTTAGTAAGAAATATCAACTCAGCCATCATCTTTCACATTTGTACTACTAGTACCAGATCCTGAAAAATATAAATAACCATAGATGATATCAAAATCTCAGTAACCAATATAGCTTATTAAATATCTATTAGCACAAATAACCATGTCAAAGTAACAAAACCAAATAATATATATATATATATATATATATAAACATAGCTTTTCTCATAGCTTTTCTCTTTATAAATCATTTCCATACTTTTTTACACACTAGCATGATCATCTATACACCGATCCTCAATAGCTTCCCGACATGAAACCATAGGCTTTAATGGATCAATCACATGTTGACCCAAGCACACTTTCAATGGTAGAAATATGCAACCAAAGGTAATCTATTCCACATATGGATTATGGTTTCCCTCATTTCACACACTTGTGATAAAGGCATTGTTGACTCATAACCACACCCTAACAGGTACTAAAAAGTTGCTAGACAACTTGGATGTCTTATGATAACAGTCTCAATATAATGTTGTACCAAATTACATATAGTATCAACTCGTATAATACTGCATTAGATGTCCCATGGTGTTAACCCGACCATATGGATTTGTTCACTTATATCTCCACACACACATCTACACATACCATGGGTGAATTCTCACTCCTCATGATTATATTTTCCACACATAATTTACCACTTTTCCATGCTTACTATAGTATTTCCCAATATTCACTTGATATTAGGAAGAGTTAACTTAATCACTATACTAAACACCAGATAGTAATCAAATACTTTGTTTGAAAAGCTTGGGCACAAGTCATATTTTCCAAAATCATCAGATTGATACCATATCAGAGTAACACATAACAAAAAGCAAACAGTTGCATTCATAACACTCATTACATGCATTTAAAATGAAGAGAATAGGTCAAATTATGGGCTATACGCCGTGGCAGGCAGCACATGCACCGCGACATGTGGTACAGAGCCACACGCCCTGATCTCCTTTATGGCATGCTCCGTGGCTTAAGACGCCATGCACCACGGTGCACAAGCCTAATTTTACAATTGTCATTTGATAGCTTAAGTGACAAACTTTTAGAGTGCATTGTTTTCACATACGACGTCCGATCGGAATAATTCAAAATCCCACACAAAACTCAACTCATAAGACTAATAAAATAGGTTTGGACACGATTTAACAATTTGATCAAAATTTAAACACTCGAGTGAAAAAAGTTACTTTTTTTGAGAATTTTAAGCACCCAAGCGGTCAAACCAATTCCATTATCTCATTAGACTATGCCAAGTTCAAAAGGACCTATTACACTTGATTGACCACATTATACATCATATACACACATATATCATAATTTGGCCATTCAACGACCCATTTTTTCAAACAAACTTTCATAATTTGGCTCAAAACATTTCTTTGGCCATTTTCACTACAATATCACCACAAACTCACTCCATAATCACCAATAAAACATTTACAACACATTCACAACTAAATCTTAACCCCGATTAATTATTTCACCATATATTCACACATAAGGGCTAAGATTCAAAAAATTACTATAATTTTCCTCGTTTCACCCGACTTGAAACTATAGGCTCTCCTTAGACTAATATACACTCTCATCGACCTTGAGCTCATCTTCAATGATAGAATCACCCAACCAAAGGTATTATATCTTACTTTTGGACTATGGTTTCTCTAATACACACAATGGAGTGTCGTTGACCTTAACACTGCATTACATCGATACTAAGGAGTCTAAATCTCCAATACCACACCTCAATAGGTACTAAGGAGATAATCTCCAACACCGCACCTCAAAAGTCACTAAGAAGATACAATTCTCCAATATCGCACTCCATCGAAAACTAAGGAGAATGATGCCATATGGTTTTTCTCTACATCTCCACACTACAGGTGATTTCCCACCCTTATAATTATGCTTTTCAAACCAATCACAAGTTCCCATTCACCACCATACGTGTATCCACAATATATAGCATATATATATATATATATATAAATTATGAAATCACATGTTTTAACCCATCTATTTGATCAAAAGCCATTTTCATACAACATTCACAAAATGCCATAAATTGTGCTTAGTTTAAAACTATTGTCATGCACTAGATAGTATACTCACATAATTATAATAAATAGTCAAACAGAGAAAGTTATTAGATTACCTCAAACCTTCTGTCGCAAGAAAAGTTACCTATGGATTTCAATTACCACTACAGCTCGTTACAAATTTCCTTTCTCAACTCACACAAGAAACACGCCAATCTACACACAATTAGCACAATCAGTCAATTGATTCAATTGATTAAAAAAACTTATTTATTACTATAAACCACCTCTAACCATTTACTCACTTCCACTTATCCATTTAAGTTCATTACCACTTTCAATTGCTTCTAACAATCCCATTTTACTCAAACATGATTTCACCCCTAATTTTTATAGAATTAGGGCTAAATTGAGCCTATAGGTTCAAAGCTCTATTGTTCAACTCTGAACCAGTCACAAAGCTTTAATTTAACTTTCAAGAACCTTTTTATTACTAAAAGGTAAGAAAAAATCCCTTAAATTTCACTGATTCGATTTCTCTATGACTCCTCCTAAGAGAAATTATAGTAGAATCAAAGGTAAGGATTATACAAAGCTTACCCGATAAGTTACTAGTCGGAAGTGCCTTCCAATGCTCTTAAATCTCTTGCCCTAGCAGACCTTGATCTCTTCTCTTCTTCTTCTCATGTTTTCTCCCTTTTTCCTCTTTGAGTCTTAAGCCAAATCACGACTTAAAGGGTCATTTTCTGGCATAACAAGTAAAATTCTCACTACACGCACACGCTTCACTTTGGGACACAGTTCTTCCACCTGTATCTATTCATTTAAAACCCCAAAGACACAAATCATCAACTAATCATCTAAATCTCTAATCCCTTACTAATTACTAACTTACTCCTGATTATAGCTAATTACAAGATTAAAAAATCATGATGTTACACTTACATACTTCACACATATATATACATAAACACACACATATATATATATATATATATATCTCCATTCAAAGCTAGAAATTATTAAACTTTCATTTTATAAATCAATTTCATGCTAGCTTTGTTTACATTGCAAACTCATGCAATAAACTCACAAAATAACAAATACATTTACTTCTACACAGTTATAATAGCCAATAAACATAACAAACTAGATGGTTACCTCAACCCTTCTATTCACAAGAAAGGGTTACTCGTGTTTTCAAAACCTTACTCAAACTCCTTCTTACTATTTCAACACGTCTCACACGAGAATCTACACAATTGAGGCACCCAGAGTCAATTACTCTATTGACTAAAAGTGCCTATTACATTAATTAAGCACCCAATCGCTATCATTTCCATGTTCTACACCCAATCACCTTTCAATTCAAGTATTATCACATCCACTATCAAATTTCCCTCAACTTTCTCCCTTTAAATTAGGCTAACTTAAGGCTACAGCTTTAAAGCTTTATCGTCCCGGCTCTAGCTAGTCACAAAGTCCTAATTTAGTTCCAAAAAACCTTTCTATTACTATAGGGTAAGAAACCATCTCCTTAAAACTTCTGAATTTAATTTTTCAATATTTTAAACAAAGAGAAAATAGGATAAAATTGGAGGTTAAGGCAGTATAAAACTTACTCGATAAGTAACAAGTCAGAAACATCATTCGTGCTCTTGAAACTTGATGCCCTAGTAGACCTCCTCTTCCTACTCCATGCCTGAGCTTTTTTTTTTCTTACTTCTTATTCTATTTTCATGAGTCCAACAAGTCCTTTCTATCAGATATCTGCTCCATGCACCGCAACACATATATCCCTAGCTACAGCGTGTGGCACAGTGAGGGAATTCTTTATCGCGCACACACACTCTACTTTAAAATGCCACTCTCTCACTCAAGCTTGTTCATACAACATCCCAAGGAGCCAAAATAATATTTCACCATTTAAAATCTTAATCTCGCATTAAATTTCTAATTCATCCCTTAATTAGAATTAATGTTACAAATAAAGAGTCTCAATCTCAAGGCTCTATGTACAGAAGTAGTGGGGTAAGATTAGGGCTCTGCAATTGTCACGACAGGCTTTTGCTATGTTTGCTCTAACTCTGAGTACTGCTAGATCACCACTATATGCTAAGTATGGCAGGTCTCATTCTTGGAAGTCTTAGGGATGTTATAAATGTGGCAAAGTAGGTTACCCTTTGAGGCGATGTCTATAGGGCAGAGCTGACACCTCTAAGTAGTGTTTGATAATACTAAGAAGGGTACTTGTGTTGTCTCAAGTGGAAGCTAAAGTGTCCCTAAATCTGATAAAAGGTACCATTCTTCTTTGTGAACAAGAGATTGTAGTGCTACTTGATTATGACTCTACACATTCCTTTATTTCTAATGAATGTGTAGAAAAATTAAAACTGCCTTTCCATAAGTTACCATTTATCATTAAAGTAACTATTCTATTAGGATTGCCATATAAAATGAGTAAAGTGTGCCTCAAAGTGGAGCTTAAATTTAAGAGTCATGCAACTACAATTGATTTAATCAAGATTCTTTTAAAAGGATTTAATCTTATCATTGACATGGATTGCTTGATTGCAAATAACGCTACATTAGACTGCACTAGGAAAACAACTTTATTATCGATGCATACTATTTTGGCAACTGCTCTTAATTAATCTAAGTTCTTATATGTAGTTCTAGCAGAGAAGCTATTGCAGCTAGGGTATTATGCCTACATGATGTTCTTTTCAGTGCATGGGGTTTACGATGGGGAAATGGACAAGATCAGTGTTGTGAATGAGTTTCTAGAGTATTTTTGGATGAAATATCTAGATTTTCTCTGGAATAGGAGGTTGGTTTCTCAATTGATTTGGTGTCAAGAACTGAGCCAATCTCGAAGGCTCCGTATCAGATGTCACTATCCGAGTTAACTTAACTAAAGAAGAAACTAAAGGAATTAATAGAGAAAGGGTTTCTAAACTAAGCATGTTGCCTTAAGG